CAGCAGCGTGTTTCCTTCAGTTCATTAATATTCGCTCAGTTTCATCATTAAACTCGTCTGAAGGATTTTTGTGTATCTACAGGCTTTGACCACAAGATGGCGGTAGAGAGTGACTCTGGTAAAGACAGAAAAAGAAAATCTTTTATTTATTACAGTTGTCTCGTATTTGTAAAGTTATCCACAGGATTTTAATTAAATGTAGATTTTTTTTTCATTTAATTCCTAGAGAGACTGAATATAAATGTCATATAAAATCAACATGACAAATTATAAAGTTAAATTTCTTTGTGACATGACAAGTTCAGAATAAATGATTGTTTTCAAAACTTACAATTGGGGTCTATTGATTACATTGATTTTAAAGGAGACGGCTCTCATTCAGGTTTTTATCCAAAGTTTCTGATGTTCATCCATTTTCACCATGAATCAGGGGAAAGGTAACAGCTGCAGGTGAAACATTTTGAAACAGAAAATGAACTAGAAGAAAAGATTCACCAACACTGGTGGCAATAACAGTAAGAATAATAACATTATTGCTAAAGTGGTCACATGCAGTTTTTTATTTATAAAAAATATTTAAAATCATGCATGTTATTTTTTCCACTTGACAACTGTTTTGGTCTTTAAGATTAAATTTTAGTTTGTGGTTGTAATGTGACAAAATATGCAAGGTATATGAATAGTTTTGTAAGCCACCTGTAAAACCCACTGACCTTTTTAGTATTTTGATTTATATTTTATGTGTAGTTGACAAAGACTGAGGGAAATTATGAGTGGCAGATCGTATTTAATTAAAGATTTAAGGGAAACTGGAATTGCTTTTATCAACTTGTTGTAAATCTTCTATTACTTTTCAAGCAAAATTATTAACATTTATGAAATGTTTATAGATCTAGAAACAAACCGGAAGCCTTAATCTTTCTGGTGCGTCACTAAAAGATCACCACTAGAGAAATCAGGCCACAAAACCACCTGCAGTCTATTCCTCCTCCCGGCAGGGGGCGCTACAGCAGCGCTGCTTCCAGCCAGAACTCCTGCTAACAATGGCGCCTCCTCGGAGTTGCAGCTGGACCAACTCCCCTCGGACCCGCTGCTCCACGTCCTGTCCTACCTGAGCTTCAGAGACCTGGTCCAGTAGGTATCAGCTTCAAGCAGACCGGAAGTGATAAGCGGACGTTGTTTTCCAGCTACAGCATGCTAGCGGCTAACAGCGGCTAGTTGACGAGCCAACTAGCTGCTGTTTTTGTTTTATTTCTACGAAAATATGATGCATAAAATTACTGTCACAGCTTTTGGGTGTGGATGGAAAACTAAAATCAAAGCGTTCATGCCCGGCAGAAGCGATAAAACGAGTTTAAAAGGAAAGATAAAGAAGTTGTTTACAGTTAGCTTCCTGCTAACAGCTGTAGCTTGTGTATTTGGAGGGAACGTGATGAATAAAATACTCCTGGGATGATGCAGGCTGATGTACAGCATATCAGAGAATATATAAATATATAAAGTAAACAAGAAATGCACAATTCACTGTAATGTTCCTGCTAACAGCTGATCAACACACAGAACTTCACTAACAGGAAGTAAACAAACCACCATCACTGATCAGAAACAAACCAGTTTATCAGACTCATTTGACCTTTTATGCAATATTTTTATGTTGCTAAAAGCAGCTGAAGTTCAATTATCTTTTAAATTCCATGTCCTTTAATGTTAATAAAATACATTTTAAAATGTTTTATATTGTGTCTATGTAAATGTTGATTTCTCAGTGGTAAATAATTAAGTATTTTGTGATCATTTAATTTTTAAAGAATTAATCAGATTAACATTAATCTTATGAGACAGGACACCAGTCCATCACAGCCTTACAGACTCATAACAAGTTACATTTACCATGATGAAACTGCTAATAATAATAATTGAGGATGTGTAAGTTGTGTTTTTTCTGTCGCAGCTGCAGCTTCGTCAGCAAGAGGCTCAGTGATCTGTGCAAACACAACCCACTGTGGAAGCGTCACTGCTGCCAACACTGGCTGCTGACAGAGTAGGTCCACCTTCACTTTCTTCAGTTTCACCCAACAGAAGCCTGAAGTGTGTGTCTGCATGTGTGTGTGTGTGTGTGCGCAGTGCGGAGCGGCTGCAGCGCGGCCTCTCTTGGTACGGCCTCTTCAAGCTCTACTTCGCTGATCTGGGTCGCTACATCCGTCACTACGCCGAGCTGAAGAACGCCTGGGAGCAGCTCAAGATTTTCCTGCAGCAGAGATGTCCGCGCATGATTGTTTCCCTCAAAGGTAACCCGACCCGCAGCTGCCCACCGCATGCTCCCCCCACCGCCGTGCTGATCGCTGTCTCTGTTGCAGACGGCGCCACGGAGGCGGAGCTAGACGACATCGAGGCGCAGATCAGCTGTAAGCTGCCAGACGATTACCGTTGCTCCTACCGGATCCAACGGCCAGAAGCTGGTGATCCCAGGGTGGGTGTCCAACCAGAGCCCCCACCCCTCTGGTTGGCCTCCCAGTCTAACCAGTGTGTGTCTCCAGGCTGATGGGCAGCATGTCCCTGTCCAACCACTACCGCTCTGAGGTGCTGCTGGACGTGGAGACGGCGGCCGGCGGCTTCCAGCACAGGAAGGGGATGCGGCGCTCGCTGCCGCTCACCTTCTGCTTCCATACCGGCCTCAGCCAGTATGTGGCGCTGGAGGACGCTGAGGGCCGCCGCCAGGGAGAGTGCTTCTACCCCTGCCCTGTCCGTACACTTCCTGTCTGCTGTCCTTTCACAGAAAAGCGTAGAGACGATTCTGACCGGGTTTGGTTCTGTTTTCCAGGACCAAACGGCTCAGGATCCGTCAGCCATCGACATGTTCATCACAGGTCAGCGACTCGCCGCTCCGACTGGGAGGCGTCTGGACTTTGTTTACGCTCTCTTCCTGTCTGCAGGATCCAGCTTCCTGCACTGGTTCAGCAGCTACGTCAGCAACGTCGTCACAGGAGAGTTTCCCATCATCAAAGAGCAGATCTTCAGGTCAATCTGTGATCCATTCATCTATAAACACTTAATGAATCATTAATATCTGTTATTATGAAGTAAATAAGGGTCAGAAGGTGACGACATGCTAAACAATAGCTTTCTAATGCTCATTGTTCTTACATGGTAGTTTGAAATGTTTAGTGTAATAAATCCACTTAAAATACAGTTGAACAGTCGTCTTCTCACTCTTAATGGATAATAAACAGTTATTAATGATTTATTTATAAATTAATTAAAGACACTAATGAACTAGTTCTTAAAGTCATTGTAAAGCATGAGATGTCAGTAGTTGTTCTGGTAGAAAGTGGACCCGTCTGGTGGTTCTGCAGGTATTCTCATGAGAAGAGCTGCGTTGCCACCACCGGCGACATCTCCGTCTCCGTCTCCACCTCCTTCCTGCCGGAGCTGTCCTCCGTCCACCCGCCGCACTTCTTCTTCACGTACCGCATCAGGTAGCGCCGCCGCAGCTGTGCAGACCCGGGCCGGGTTCTGATGGCGTTCTAACGGGTCGACCCGTCTGCAGGATAGAGATGTCCAGAACCGCCTCGCCGGACGCAGCGTGTCAGCTGGACAGCCGCTACTGGAGGATCACCACCTCCGACGGAAACGTGGAGGAGGTTGCGGGTCCGGGCGTGGTCGGTAAGCCCGCCCTCTTGCTGCGCCCTGATTGGTCCAGCTGTGGCGCTGAGTGTGTCCTGTGTGTGCAGGAGAGTTCCCGGTCATGACGCCTGGCAAGGTGCACGAGTACGCCAGCTGCACCACCTTCTCCACGCCGTCAGAGTTCATGGAGGGTCACTACACCTTCCACAGACTAGGTGGTGCTCTACTCCTCGCACACACACACACACGCACGCACACACACACACACACACCCGGTGTGTTGGTCTGATGCCTCTCTGTCTTCCAGCCAATAAGGAAGAGGTTTTCCAGGTGGCCATCCCTCGTTTCCACATGGTCTGTCCTCCCTACAGAGAGCCGGAGTCTCCATCTGTAAGACACTCCGTCCCTCATCCCCCCATCCGTCTCCTCTTCCTTCAGTCTGGACCACCCGACACTCTTCTTCTCTGCTTTTATTTCTGTGGACAGAGAGCTTCAACCAGCCACACGGCTCCCTACAGCGACGATGAAGATGATGATGACAGCAGAGGAAGGTTTGGGTGCTCTGAGAGGCATCAACATGTCCAGCCTGGACAGCTCGCGGTGTCCCAAGTTCACCTGAGCCGCTAACGGCCGCAGAGCCAGAAACTGAATCACTTGAACTTCCAGTTGCCAAACTGCATCCGAGCAGGACGAGCTCGTTTCTGGTTTGAGTTTTTCTGATTGACCAGATTTAGGTTGAAGAAGAAGAAACGACGCTGCAGAGCTGCAGAGGTTTTTCCTCTCATGTTACAGACCAACCTAAACATTCCTCAACCTGCCAGGCAGCAGACAGGGAAGCTTCTTCAGATGTTTCCTGTTGTTGAGAGAACAGCTATAATCTGCCATCTAGTGGTTAAATGTGGGATTACAGCTTCATTTGTGTTTTTTCTGAGATGTTTGATTTGTTACATTAAGAGTAAAAAGTTTGAAAAGCTCAGTAGAAGTTCCATTTTCAGGTGAGAATCTGGGTCAGGACAGATTAAACTGGTGATTTTGATCTCTGTGATGATTTTGAGGAGCTTTTGGGTTGGAGCTGCTGCTGCTGTATACAAATCGTTCTGCTTGTTTTGGGTGGATGCAGAGTTGAGATTTTCTGTTTGGGTTCAATAAACCAGATTGTGTGAATCTGAGTTCTGCTGCGACTTTACAGTTTAGATGTTTCTGTTCTGCATTAATCTCTAATTTTCTTTGTGTGGGATTGTTGAAGGTTTTCTCCAACAGTTTTTCTTTCTGTTTTGCAGGATTTTATTTTATTTTGCTGCTTCTGTTTATTTCTAATTTTACATTTTACACCAGAAACATTCAGCTCACATCACTCACACAGAGTTTATAGAAAATGGAGATTTTTCTAGTTTATTTAGTGTTAGTCATCCTCCTCCTCCTCCAGCTCTTCCTCCTCCATCCTCCTCCCCAGGCTCCTGCACCTCCTCATCCCTCTGGTCTCCTTCCTGTCCTCCGGCTCTGGCTCCTTCCTCTCCTGCTCTTCCTCCTCCTCGCGGGCGCTGCAGCGGCTGCAGTGCCTCCTGAAGCCGCCCAGGACCTCGGAGCGGAACCAGCAGAAGGGGCAGGCGTAGCGGCCGGGCCGGTGGGCGGTGCGGGCGTGCTGCTGCAGCCGGCTGGGCAGGAAGAAGCTCTGGGGGCAGGAGCTGCAGCGGTACGGCCGCTCCACCTCATGGTGGCGCTCTACGTGGGTCAGAACGAAACCTGTAGAGAGCAGAGGGAGAGGATGAGATGACCCGGTTCTGATCCAGAGGCTGAAACATCTGGAAAATATCCAGGCTGGCTAACCTTTCAGTTTGCTCTTCCAGTTGCAGACAAGGCAGACGAAGCGGTGGGAGACGGAGCCCACCCACCGCGCCGCCACCTCCATCTCCTCCTTCATCAGCTCCTCGCTCATCCCGGCGCCGTCCTCCTCCTCGGCCCGGCCCGTCTGCAGCTGCCGGCTCTTGGCCAGGGCGTGGCTGGCGTAGCTCTTGGGGATCTCGTGTTTGCGAACGATGTGGCTGACGGAGACGGAGCGCTGCCTGTGGCTCCAGCCGCAGATCTTACAGTGGAACAGAACGCCGTCGAACGTCAGAACGTACTGCTTCTCTTCCTCACTGGCCTTCTGCTCACGCTGCTCCTTATCCTCCTTCTTCTCTGTCTCCTCTTCCTCCTCTCTCTTCATCTTTCCCCCCTCTTCCTCCTCACTCTTCATCTTTCCCTCCTCTCTCTTCATCTTTCCCTCCTCTCTCTTCATCTTTCCCTCCTCTTCCTCACCCTGCTTCCTTTCAGCAGCTGTTTTCTCTCCATCTTCATCCTCACACTTCTTTTTACTTTCAGGTCTCTCCTCCTCTTCATCACTGCTCCTCTTTCTTTTCGAACCCTCCAGCTTTTCTTCATCCTTCTCTCCTCCCACCTCCTCTGCTTCCTGTCCTTCCTCTCCTCCTCTTCCTCCCTCTTCCTCCTTCTCCACCATGCAGTGCCGGGCGATGATGTGTTTGTACAGCTTGCTGAAGTCCTTACAGGTGTGGAAGCACTGGGAGCAGTGGAAGAGCCTCGCGCTGCTCTGGTACATCAGGATGTTGCCAAGGCGACCCACTGCCACGTCATCCAGACAGGTGGGGTGTGACGCCGCCAGGTGGGCCAGCTGCTGGGCGTGGCTCTTGGACAGGTGGCCGCAGTGGGCAGCGGAGGTGGGCGGCCACCCCGCCGCCCGCCTCGCCCCGGGTGTGGATGAAGACGGACATGGTTGCTAGGAGACGCCAGGAGAGAGGTATTAAAACCACAAACTTTATTATTTAAGCAGCAATGACAAACACAGTTAAAGTCATTATTAGCATCAAATTCATTCATAACTGGAGGTTTTGTTTTCAATGAGCACCTTAAAGAAGCCTCAGTCCATATATGGTTCTTCCTGTAAGTTAAAAGAAGTGATTTGATCATTTGTAGCTGAATCTCCTCCTTTTTATGGTTTATGTTTATTTTTTCGTTAAATGAATCCCGGTGATGTGACCAGTTATAACGGTACAGCACCAACGGAGCTAAGCTAAGCTAACATGGTAACAGCCGTTAAAACATCCCTTTAACCGCAGTTGTTACCCACTTCTCCGCGCTGCTGCCTCTATTTTTCTGCGTTGGACCAGAGAAACCAGTATAGAAGATTAGTTTTAATTGGTATGAAGACAAACGTCTGTTTTCAACCCACCGAGGGTTATATGATGCTCTGCTCTATTTACTTCCTGCACAGCCAATCACAGAACAGAACTCAAGCATCGCGAGATCTCCGACGTCTCATTCTACTTCTTCTTCTATAGAGTTTATTGGCAGCTTACAATTTTGGTGTTTTACCGCCACCAGCTGGACTGAAGTGTAACCACAGGTTTACCCCTTATCTTCAATACCGTTATTTAATAAAATATAGTTAATATCTTAATTAAATGATCTCTGCTAATTTTGTGGCCTTTTAAATCAATTAAGTGCTTTAATTACACATATACGTGTCTGGGTTTTACTTCTGCATTACTAATTTGGGTTATTACATAATATTACTCGCTTCTAAAATCTTTATGTAACATCAGTCTGAGATTTTTACATAAATATAATTTAAAGCCATGAAATAAAAAAAGAAATCTATTCAAAATTAAACGATTTTGAATAAATTATTCAAATTATAGTTTGAATACTTTTAACTTCTTTATTAAAGTTAGAAAAATGCAACAAGATTGATCCACTTATCGCTGAGAATAGATTAAATATCTCTCAGTCAAACTCAAATGAATAGAAAACTAGATGCCAAAAGCATGAAATCATTTTTAATTGGAAACATTAAAATAATAAAAGCTGTTATGTGATTAGCAGGAAGCATTTTGTCTACAGCAGGATTTCAGTTTTATTTGTGTTTTTTAGTCAGATGAAAAAGTTGCAGCTGGAAACAGATTGTAAAGAATCCAACATTATTTAGAAATAATCATAAAACGAATCCATTATTTTAAAGACAGTTTGTTTCTCTTTCTGTAAACTTTCTTTGTGTTGTTTCTGTCTTTGTTTTGCACGAACTGTCAGCAAGATGTTACGAAATGGAGGCTTTTATTGTGGAGGGATGGAGGAGGAGAGATAGCCGGAGGGAGGACTTGTGTTTTCATTCTGTCTTTACTTGGATTCACTCACACACACACACACACACACACACACACACACACACACACACACACACACACACACACACACACACACACACACACACAGAGTGGCTGCAGCTGCACCAGGCAGAATCAACCTGGTTCTGCTTGAACTTTAGTCTGTTGGACTTTTTGTCTGGTTTTCTGTTCGTCTTTTTGATCTTAGTTTTTTCTCCAGAATCTGTTTTTGTTTCTGTTTTTTATTTTCCTCTCCAGTTAATCACAGCATTTTATCTTCTTGACACTCATAACTTTTCATCTTTTTAATGAAGTTTTCAGCTTTTTCTGTTTCCTGCAAAAACACAAAACCAAACAAAATATTTTGGTCCAGTTTCTATTTCAGCTCTAAATATTTCTTCTATTTCTATTTCACTGGTCGATGATTTTACTTGTAGGAAAGTATCCTATAAGTGAATATTTTGCAGCTTTCTATGTAATTTGAGTTATTTTGTACACTTTCATTCTCTAATGGATTTTCAGCAGCTGATAATTTAGTTTATCTTTTAGGTAATAATTTCTGCATCTACATTAAATGAAAGTTATAAAGTAACTTTGCTGCCCAAATGGATCCAGTTGATACCCAGTAATATGGGAACGTAAACAATGACATTGCTAACTTTAACTGACCATAAAAACAGAATAAACTCAGTAATATCTCTGTAGAGACAGTTTTCAGTTAAACAGGGTCAGGAAAACTTTCTATGGAGGAAGAATCAGGTCAAAAACTGAAGGAAAGTTTTGTCTATCTCAGCATTTTGAATTTTTTAAAGCTGAAACTAAAATCCATGTTTCTGCCTGGATCTTCCAGGAAGCTTTTGGTTGAAGAAAAGCAAAGTTTCTAGTTAACTTAGTGCAGATTTGACTCTTTTAGCTTCTGCAGCAGCGAATGTGCATCCAGTTCCAGGAATCAGCCTTTATTAAATCAGTTGAGTTTATTTGTTCAGTGCAGTTCAGCAACATGGCCGTTCAAACTGCTTTATATAACAAAACACAAAAATAAAAGTAATAAAAATAGAATATAGTCCAGTTAAAATCCTGCTTCCTGTTGACTGCAGGATGTTTTACTGTAATTTCCTGTCTTTATCAGTTCAGTGAAGTTGTGACTGAGTGAAAATGCTCTCGGCTGTAATAAACCAGAGAAAAAGAGTCTGACTTCCAGAAACTGGATTATTCTGTCAGTAGGCAGAACCGGCGGATGGACCCAATCGAGTTCCAGTCAGTCAGTCGATCCAATCAGTCAATAATTAAACCCATGTGACGTAAACTCGCCTGTTTCTCTGTTTGGTTTCTGTTCTGCTGCTCTGGGAAGATTTAACGTTGGCCTGGAGGAGCGTCTTTCACCTCACTGCTGCTCTGCTTGTTTCCTCTTCAGTGTCATTAAAAATCATCTCACAGATCCTCAGTTTTCAGGTTTGATCCTGATGGATTCTCATGCAGCAGCAGCTCAGTGTTTTGTCTCCGTGTTTTTACATGTTTTTCTGGAGGTTTTTGCTCAGATTTGCTGCTTTTTGAGCTGCAGAGTTGAAGTTTTTCTGCATTTGTGACGATAAACGGAACCTTTCTGGTTAAATTGGTAAATAGAAACCAGATTTTTATTGGTAAACATCTTTAATTTTGCCTTTTGTTCCTCTGTTTTTCCATTATTGATTAAACATGATGAGAGAGTTCAGTTTCCTGTAGCAGTCAGTGTTGCAGGACACCCCAGACTGATGGTATCATGCTAACATGCTAACAGCTCAACATTTGTTCCACATTAGCGTCCTGATGACATCATCAGCTGCTAATTCCCATCCTTTGCTTTTGCTGTTTGGGTTTTTACAGGAAGATGCTGGAGTAGGGGATATGATCGATACAAGAGAGGCGTGAATACTTTTATGTGTCTTTATTTATATGGATCGTTCTGCTTTAGTTGAATTATTTTGGGGCTAAACTAAACTTGCTTTAGTTGTTTTTAGTTCAGTAACGGTCTGACTAAACGGCTGATGGATGTTTTCAGGGTCTATTTTCAGCGGAGGATTAATCCAGGTTTGAACTTGTCTTCCTGTCAGACGTTGCTTCGATGCTCTTCTTTCCTCCAGAGGAAAGCGGCTGCATGTCAGTGGCCCTGAGCTGCAGCAGATGCTGCCTTCTGGTTTGCGGAGGGTCAGAATGAGGCTGAAACATGTGGAGGTGGAAACTTGTTGACTGTGTCCATCTGCAGACCTGGATAATCCCTGTTAGCAGATTAAACCTGCAGAGCGCAGGCAGAGCGCAGGCAGAGCGGAGGAGACCAAGGTTTGGGATGTTTGGTTTCCTGTGAAGGAATGAGAAGAAGCTGCAGAGTTTCACTCAATCTGGACGTTTTTTATCTGGAAACCTTTTAATCTGAAAAACCTGAATTTATTTTCACTGTTGTGGGAAAGACTTTGATGAACTTTCTGGATTTACTCTGAAAAATCTCCTTTAATTTCAGCTTCACTGCAGAATTAACAGGTTGCTACATGCAGGAGGACCGATTACTACCCTGTCAAAGGCTTTTCATTTGAAATGCTACAGTTTTACAGTTGATGTTTTTCTTCAATTTAAGTGGGAGAAATAAACGTCTTTCTCCTGTTTTTGGCAACATTATTAATATATTGCTAAGCTAACAGTGGATGTGTTTGGTTCTGATATCATGAGACGTTTCATGAATCAGGGGTCGTTCACCATCTAGCCAATCAGACGGGATGATTTCTTACGTTGACTGTCTGGGCGGCGAGGGGGCGGGGCCTGGAGCGTCGTCACACTGCTGGAACGGGGGTCCTGACGAAGAGCGCGATGAGCTTCTTCCACGCAAGATGGCCGCCCTGCAGCCGAAAACAGAGGGCAGCCTGAGGCGGCGCCTGCTGAGCGCCAAGATCTACCAGCAGCAGAGCGCCATGTTGGGGCTGAACGCCAGGCCGGCGCCGCCTTCAGGTGACAGCAAGCCCCTCCCACCTCACCTTCAGGGAAACCCCTGGCACCTCCCACCGCGGCAGCATGTCCACCCTTCCCTCCCACTGGAGGCTCATGGGAAACTCTTCTTCTCCCCTGAATCCTGTGGGAAGACTCAGACCTCGCCCCTGCAGGTGCCACGCCCCTCTTGCCCCATCCTCAGCCACAGGCGCCGGACCAGTTCCTGCCCCCCGGCCCCAGAGCCCCGCCCTGGCTACGCCCTTCCTGCCCACAGCCTGTTGAGCGTCACAAACCCTCCAAAGGAACCAGAGGTGCCACCGCAGTACTGCTACCAGCCCACCAAGAGGCGCAAGACCCGATTTCTTTGGTTCCGACGCCGGCAGGGGAAAAGCTGGAAGCAGGAAGCGTTGTCGACCACTCCGCTTCTCCAGAAAGGTACGGCCTCAACCTGACAATGTTCCCGTTTTACACCAGTTAGAGGAACCAGTACACGGCCAAAGAACATTCAGTACTTATTCTGGTTTCAGTTCACTGGATGCGTCTACATCTGCTAGCGTTGGTCACTAGGACCGAGTCTTGAAGGTCTGAATCGTTCTGTTCTTTATCCAGTGTGAAGTTGTCCCAGTTTGGTCCCAACCAGCAAACCTTTGGTCCTGGTTTGGTTCTGGATGTCTCTGATGGACGGGCCCCGGTGCTTCAGGAGGGGCCCCGGTGCTTCAGGAGGGGCCCCGGTGCTTCAGGATCCCCTCCATCTTTGGGTCTCATCTCAGGATCGTCTCATGATATTTCCTCACTTCCCTACTTCAGTGGGAAATCTGAATTTTGAAAAGAGTTTATTGAAAGTTTGTTACATTATCATGATCACAGCAACGGTCTTGAAGACGATCTCACATTGGTTTGGTCTTGGTCTCTGATTGGTTCCTGCCTTCCTCAGAGTCTTTGGCCAACTGGTCTTGACTCCCAGTACCAGTCCAACCTCTTTTTTCCCTCGGTGTTCGGATCGTTTTGTTGAAGATAACTTCATACTGAACAGTCACAGCAACTTTGCCAACCTGTGTTTGCATGACCTCAAACATTTGGTATAAACTCACCAAACGTCTTGATCCAAACTTGTGGCAGCTGGTCTGACCTGCAGCCACAAGCTGCCACAGGAAACGACATGAGAACCTCTGAGCACAACGTCCTTCTCCACAAACAAAAATGGAGGCAAAGATTTTAGTGTTTGGAGGATTCTGTCTCTCTTTCTGTCTCTTTCTCTCATCCATTTCTCCTGCTAGCGCGTTAGCTTTGGTTGTATTTACCCAGAATGCTCTGCGCTGTGGCACGTTTCCTGCTTTTGGAGCGTTCTGCCGTCCGCTTGGTGTTCATGTATTAAACCAGGCAGATCCACGATTATCTATTCAAACCAAGAGTAGAAGAATCAGCGGCTGCAGTTCTTACAGTTCAAGAAATGAAGTTTCCATTTTCTGTTATTCAAACAGTTTGAAAGCCATGAATATTTGATGCAGATCCAGTTCTTTAACTTTCTCTGCTGCATTATTGATCAGCGTTGACTCTACACTGCTGAAGGTTGGCTCCTGACATGTGTTTGGGAATGTTTCCTTCATGTTTGGGTCAGAACCTGCAGCTCTGTGATCAATAATGCGTCACAGATCCAGTTCTTCTCAGATGCCTCTAGCGCCACCAGCTTCTCCTCATGACCTCCTCTGTGTCTAATCTGCTCTGTGTGTATTTGTGTGCATGGATTAGCAGCAGCTCCATATGCTAAGCTAAAGGCTAATTCCTGTTCCAGCGGATGAGCGGCCCGTATGGCTGCAGCAGCTGCTGCAGGCGGCTTCACCTCCGTCAGCCATGTTGAAACAAGTCCTTCCTCCCTTGAATCTATTTTCTGCTTTTCTACTTTTGGATCAATTCTTGCAGAACTGATCCAAACACAAACCAGCTGCTCAGGGTTTTAGAGCCTGAGCAGCTGGTTTGTGTTAATAATCATCCTGATACGGGAAACTTTCAATAAAAATGATCATCAACATGATTTCATTACAGGAAAATATAAAGTAAAACTCAAAGGATTTGTGTTTTTATAACCAAGTTTTAATAAAAGGTGAAACCAAAAGATTTTTACTGAAAAGTCCATTTTTCTGCACAGTCAGCTTTTATTCTTTCATAAATTTGGTTAAATATAGAAAATGATTCAAAACAAAGTGACCTAAATCCTGTTCTTATTACTGGAAATAAATGTTTTCAATCGAGTCCAAAAATCAACAAAAGAAAATTAAATCCTTTCCAGCAAGCAGCCAAATCTGCTGCAGCGCATTGATTAATCTCTAATTCATCCAAACATGATTCTGTCTCTTTCAGCGTCTTTTAGAAACTTCGGGACGTTAATAATACATTGTTCTGTATTTCCTGGAGACTCGGGTCTTTCCGGGCGTTCTGTCGGTTCTGATTGAGCCTCAGGTTCTAAATATAGCAGTGAGATAATTCGCCCTACTTGGTGTCTAATTATTGAAACTAATTACAACAGAGGGGAGATGAAGAGACGGGAGGCCGTCAGCCTGCAACACTAATTAGCTGCTCCACATTGTCGACACATTTACCAACTGGAACTGGCCCAGTTTGGCACTGGTGGTGGAGGTGAACCCAGTTAACCACTAAAAGTCGTTATGGAGGACGGAGCTGATCAACATTCAGAGAATAAAGTTTTTATTCTCTGAATAATGAAGGAAAAACAAAAGAGACAAAGACCTGAACTGCAGGAGGAAAAGTTGCTTTAAATATTTGATAGAATCAATAAATTCCCAATAAACATGTTGAAAACGGCATTAAAGCAGCACAAACATCCTGCTGCTTTCCAAGAGACAGAATAATTGATGAAGGGTTGATGAAACGAGGCCTTTTATCACTCGGCTCGTTCAGAACTCGGATCGTTACTTTCTGGGTTTCCTCTGAACCTGCAGATGGATTTTCCTCCCAGCGAAACCAGAACACAGAGAACAAAACATAAACGTTTCATCTGCAAAGCAACACCTTCCTGCAGCGTCTGCAGGTGACCTTCATCACCTGGCGACTCCTGAAGGGCGAGCGAGAGGGAGAGAGGGAGTGAGAGAGTGAAGGAGCGAGGGAGTGAATGAGGGAGAGAGAGAGAGAGAGAAAGGGAGGGAGTGAGGAAGGAAGGAAGGGAGGGAGCGATGGCGTCCTGCCACGCTGGCAGGTGTGTGTGGAAGTGAGAGAGGGAGACAGAGGCTGGGGGCGAACGAGAGAGAGAGAGAGAGTGGGAGGAGAGCTGCGTCGCAGCGAGTCGAGCTGCATTACTGCAGCTGCAGGAGTGTGTGTGTGTGTGTGTGGCGTCGTCATGGTTCTGATCGGAGCGGCCATCAAATCCGTCCTCAGATTCCTCAGCAGAACCACAGGTAGGAGACGCAGCCGTGATGATGATGATGATGATGATGATGATGATGATGATGATGATGATGATGATGATGATGATGATGAGGGGCAGAAACTGGGTCAGTCAGGATCAATAGATATCAGTTATGGATCTTTGAAGATGACCTCATATTGTCCTGGTCTGTGATTGGCTGTCAGGTTTTTGCATCATGAGGTCAGCAGTTTGATCTGGGTTCAGATCTCTGCCTTATGAAGGAAGTAGAGCTGATTGATTGATTGATTGATTGATTGATTGATTGATTGATTGATTGATTGATCAGTAAACTGGTTTATTGGTTGCTTCTCCTCATCCTCAGATCCTCAGGATCTGCTGTGCTGGGCGAACTGGACCCTCAGGAGAGGTTCTGGTCGGTACCAGAGGTTCTAATGGTTCCCAGTAGAAACAAGAGGCGATTGATCCACGATGAGCCAATATTTGAACTTTTTAATTAGTAATAAATATGTTGTTGCTGGAATTGACACTTTATTACTAAAAACTCTGAACCTCGACTATATTTAGTAAAATGAATTTATTGTTTTTAATTTGTTTCTGGTTAAAGTTTGAGATGATAGCAGCAGGACGTCTGCGCCGGATCTGATAGAAACCATTTCAATCAAAACACTTTATGAATCTCAACGTGAAATTAAACAGCACATCTTCACAAAACACAGATAAAGAGAAAAAGAGTCACATTTTGAGTTACTGATGGATAACATGCGTTTCGTAACAAAATCCTGAGTTTTCACTCATTTTCTCAACTTGTTTTTTTTTTCTTGTTCAAGTTGAAATAATTGGTCTGTAAACCGACCTGCACTGATGTGTTCATTGATTTGATCAAATAGCATAAATTCACACCAAATGATTTATTCCTGCATCATCAGCATCGTTTATGATTCCAGTGTTTTTCTCACATGCTGGATGACAGCGGCGCGTTTTCACTTCTCCATTATGTCACATTTGCTTTTATCTTTCTGATCTTCCTTCCTTACAAAGTAAATAAAGGTTAATCTTCTATACGTGTAAAAATGTTTGGCTGAAACCCAGAGTTGGTCGAGTTCTGCAGCGTTTCTCCATCGTCTCTCGTTCCTCTTCAGGTTCACCTTCAAATTAAAAGCTTAGTTTCCATCCTTGTCTTTACACTGAAGTCAAATCAATGAAACTGTCCAGCTGTGATGGTTTCGCCGTCCATCATGGCGGAGTGGACTGCTTTCTGAAGTGCATGACATCACATGTCAAAGGTCAGTTCCTGGCTTCGGACTTCCTGTGTCGCCTCCAGACGAACAGAGACGTTTTCTGGACTGAATGCAGAAATCGGTTTGTTGTGTTTATGGATGTTGAATCTGTTTTACACCCGATCGATTATTCACTATTTGACCAAAATGTTTCAGTTCACAATCCAGAACCATTTAAACAGTCGTCTGTTTTTATGAGCCAGCGCTCTGGCTCCCAGCTGAATGGACATCTGTCCACACATCTGTCCACTGAATCCCCCTGAAAGACAGACGGCCTTTCCTTCAAATTAAAAGCCCTGGAGCACAGAACCGGGGTCACCTTGACGGCTGCTGAGAGCTGCAACTTCCATCATCAACAGTTTCTGTGTGAGAGGAAATCTGCTGAAACGAGATGAAACACAGAAAGGCTGATTATTCTGTCTGTGTCTTTGTCTCTGCAGCAGGGGACAGGGACAGCAAATGGTCCGTTCACTACAGTACCCAGAAGCCTCCGCAGGGTCTGCGCTTCGTTCCTGGGAAGCGGCGGTCGGGCAGCGCTGATGACCTGCGAGGTGAGATGAATGCTGCTGCAGCTGCTGCTGCTGCTACTGCAGCTGCTGCTACTGCAGCTGCTGCTACTGCTGCTGCTGCTGCTGCTGCTGCTGCAGCTGCTACTGCTGCAGCTGCTGCTACTGCAGCTGCTGCTGCTGCTGCTGCTGCTGCTACTGCAGCAGCTGCTACTGCAGCTGCTGCTACTGCTGCTGCTGCTGCTGCAGTCTGACCAGAAAACGGACAAAGAGAGAAAGAGACAAAACCACAGACTGTTGCTGAAGGAGTTTCTGTCTCACAGTTTAGAGCAGAAGGATTTTAAACCATGAAATGGATTAAAATCAAACTAAAACAGAGACAGAAAGTCAGGAGCTTCACTGACCATGTTAATAACTCAGTTTTCTCCTTTAAAATAAAAAGTCTTTTCTGTTTTACAGCCCAGAGAAATAAATTATAGTTTCTCTTCCATGGAAGCTTTGATTCAGGTTTATGATCTTTAAATGAAAAGTATTGATCTGCAGACATGAGTGAAGAAATAAGTGTTGCAGTTGGACTGCAGTGGCTCTGCTGCAGCACTGCTCTGCTGCAGCACTGCTCTGCTGCAGCACTGCTCTGCTGCAGCACTGCTCTGCTGCAGCCAGCGGTGGCGGATCAATCTGCTGATTATTTCTTCCTTTTCTTTCTTTCTGTCTCCACAGTTTACAACGGGCTGACTCAGCATGACTGCTTCAAGCCCCGCCCACCGAGTCCCACCTTTGCTCCATTGTGCGGTCTGGACCAATCAGAGGGCGGCGCTCGCAGAGGCTGGCGGAGCAGAGGCAGAGCGATGGTGAGCTGCTGTCAGTGACTCATGAATATTAATGAGGCTGAAACGACCGCAGGGAAACGGAGGCTTAATGAGTCATGAAGTGATGACTACACACTGCAGATTATAATCCTGAGGGATTATTTCATATGAAGCCTCATAAACAGAAACACATCCATTAATGATTGATCCAGAGACTCCAGGCCCGGTTCTGCAGGCCCGGTTCTGCAGGCCGGATCGTTAGGATTCTGCTATCAGTTTCACATCAGGACTGGTTCTGGTTCTGCTTTGACATGATTTCATTTTAAAGGTTTAATTAACCCTTCATTTACTCTGCAGCTTTAAAGATGTCTGACTTCTGCTGCCACCTGCTGGTTAAGCTCAGGCATTGCCAGAGCTCTTCCCATCATCACTAATGGTTTTGTTTTGTCCTCTTTCTCTCACTCATCTCTCCTCTCAGAGGTCCAGAGTCTTGGACTTTTTCTCTCAGACTTGTTTTTCAGTTTGTTTCAAGTTTTCATTTTGGAGGAGAAAGGTAAACAGATTGTCAGATTGTCACCTTTAGCTCCCTGCTAGTCGACATTTAAACCCTGAAGCATAAATCTGGATCTAAACTGTTCCCAGCTGATCTTAGGTTGAAATTAAACCTTGTTTTTTTCAGTCCTCAGCGTCTTCAGATGAAGATGAGAAGTTCTTCCTCCCCAACACGCGACCTATGACCCCACTGGTCCTGAATCCCATCAGCCTCACTTCCTGCTGGGACGACGACACGGAGCCTCCGGAGCGCCTGCCAACACCGGAGGAGAAGATGAGGCGGCAGGCGGACGCCATCGCAGCCGACGTGGTTCCCATCAACGTAACGGGTACAGAGAGCAGAACCGACCAGAACCGCTGGTGGACTCGCAACCAGTTCAGAAAAGATCTTTGCTTTTCTTATGATCACTTTTGAACATGAAGTAGGAAAAAATACATGTTTTAGCTAATACTGTAATTTGTGTCTTAATTTCTTAATCCAACCAAAGATTTAATTTTTTTTACCACATAAAGAGTTAATATTACAGCTTGGAGACACGGAGACGCCTGGGACAAACAACCAGGTTTCAACCCCTTAATGTGACTAAATAGTTTTGTTTATTAAGTCCAATCATTTATTTCTTTAACCAAAGTGAAGATGAAGTTGGAATGAGAATTGTAAAATAATTTTTTATAAGTTTATCATAAAACGTTTTGGGATCTTCAACCAAACTGAAGATTTTTCAAACTTTTTTATTCCTTAATTAAAGCCGTTTTTCTTGAGTCGTCTTAAAGGGACAGAAGCAGCTTTGATTTATTCAGGTTTGTAATCTGTTGCTTAAACTCCAAACATGGAGTCATTTGTAATTTGTTGTTTATTTGTCTTTAAGGTGAGAGTTTTGACCGACAGGCCAGTTTTCGGAGAACAATCTCTAATAGCGACTCGTTAAATGGAAGACCTCATAAACTGAGCCGCCGTAAAACCGTTTCTGCGATATCAGACGACGTCGTCCCCAAATCGTTGGTCCCAGTGAACCTGCCTGGCCAGTACTCAACAGCGAGTCGACTTCCTTCCTCCTCACATCAGCAGAAGAGCCTGGAGGAGAGAGAAAGGGACAGGAAGGACAGACCGTCCAGGAGAATCAGAGCCCCAAAGGGTGAGGGCATGTCCAGCCTCATGGCCTCCCTCACCTCCTCACCAAACGCCGGCAAGCAGCCCAACTCCTGCCACTCGTCTTCCTCTGAGATCGACAGCCTCCCCCGCATTCCCACCAACTCCTCTCTGAGTTCAGAGGTCAGCGTGAACTGCACCACCTACAGGACACTCAGTGCTTCCTCGTCTTACAACCAGGTCAGTCCAAAAAAACACAGAGCCGCGCTGGATTAACCTGAGCCAAGTTAAAGATTGTCTCTTTTCTTGTCGTTTTCTCTGCAGGATCAGGAAAGTTTCCCAAGTGATTTCCAGCCGCTGTTGCCCTACGACCCCAATGCCAGAGTCATACCTCAGTCTCCTTCCTCATCGTCTCGTTTTCCTTCTTCTCCTGTCAACTCCTGCGTCTCTGACACGCCCAGCCAGCTGCAATCGGAGTGGTCTTGTCCTAGTGATAGACCTTTAAATGTGGACTCCTCTCACTACCTCTCCTCTTCAAGTATCGCTGATTCTGTGTCTCAGTTTAGTTACCAAGCTCTGGCTGATCAGAGCTTCTCTGATGGAGACTCCTGTAGTGGGGAAAGCTGGAGCTACAGACGTCTTTCTCCTGCGTCCAGCATCCACAGCGGTTTCCCCCAGGACACACGATGTGTCTCTGAAGACGGCTGGAACTGTGAACCTCTCCTTCCTTCTGGTCGCTCCACCCCTGTCTGCATCGACAACACCTCCCTTTGTTCAGAGAGGATGTCTTCATCTCCCTTGCTGAACCGGGACAAAAGGAAGTCCAGCACTTCGGCGTTCTCCTCTCGCTCTATGACGCGCAGCATCTCCCTACGCAAGTCCAAGCGCCCGCCTCCCCCACCGCTGCGCTCCGACTCCTTGAGGCGTCGGCCAGGTCGCAGCAAAGCCTCTCGTTCAACAACAAGCCCACGTCCTGACCGGAGT